GCTTAACCATCTGCAAATCGATTTGATGTTTTCATTTTTCTATGAGCCTTATCAGAGCTGTTATCATGGCTTATTCATGATATGACATAGTTTTGAATAAGCCCCTTCCGTCAAATGTAAACCATCGCATCATAGTTGAATAAAAGTCGGAAGTACGTTCTCGAGAACGGTCTGCGTTTCCGGAAACGAATTGCCGTTTTCATCATTTAGTGGGGTCACGGAGAATTCATGTTAAACTGCTGGTAACTCCAACGTCATTTTGGAATGGGAACATGCAGCAAGTTCTGCAGGTATTCATACTTTGTGACCAATCCAATAGGCTATCGTCTATACATCTTCCAAATCACGCAATATCATCATATTATCATCATTGTGTACTGACTTTGAATGTTTGGGTTAAAAGGTTGTTAATTCCTGAAAAACAGTTTGAGAGCAAAATGACATGAGATATGATGCTTAAAAATGCAACAAAAATGAGAATAAAGTTGAATCGAACAGGAGAGATTATAAAAACTTCCGCAACAGTGATACAGCAGATTTAAATGACAAAGCTAAATGAAACCTCCTCATTATGCTTGCGCAGAACATATGTCCGTATCGAAGAAGACCAAGACTTTTCAGATTGAATAGGGCACGCACGAAAAGAAAGAATTTTGGTCTTTGCTTGGCAGTATATGAACTTTGAAAACGAACTATTGATAATTTAGTTGCAAAAAAATGTGGCCGCCTTCTGCTTTCATTGATTATAATCCGTAGGTCCACATCTACAAGTATGAAACAGTCAAAGACATTTTCATCAATCCAATAATTTCTAGAGGTAATTTGAACTTTCATAGTCGAAGTGAGACAACAAAAAGAACTATAAAACCCATCTTGCCCTCCGCTCTTACAGAATACGCAACATTACCTTTGGTAAGGGTGAAGAAGGAGAAGATTATAGCAGATTTGCACAGGAAAGTCTTCGGTAATTTTGTTTCTGAGATTGTAAAAACATCCCACAAAAAAGCCAAGTATACCACAGAGAATTTGGAAGCTTGAATCGAGTCAGATTTACGATGTTTTTTTTTGGCGATTTATGTAATTCACTCTCGTATCAAGTGAATATATGTTCTGAACTTGTCTTTGCTTTCTTTCCATGTACTCAAAATTTGACCCTTATATGCATGACTTCCTTGTACATTCATCAAATTTCGAAAGGGTAATGTGCATAGCATGAACATGGAAGGCAAAATAGATACACAATGCATATCTGTCGTAATGTCATCTCGAAACCTGACATGGTTCTTTATTGAGGGGACGGCATACTTTAGGAGGAAGCGACCTCTGCAACTCTTACCTATTAGTTACATAAAGAATTTTGCTTCACAAAATTCAGTGGAAGCAGGAAAAGATGAAATCGCCTAATTAATTCATCAGAAACTACAAAACACTTTGCGATGGAGCGTGAAGGTACTGCACTGCACTGTCTGCATATAGCCCGCATTTTAGAATGAAAGTTTAGAAATCGTCCATACTTGACAACTGTGGACAGTGTTGCGATGTCAACTTTATTGCCGGTGTTAACGTTGTTGTCGGTACTAAAGAGTCGTTGTTGTGCAAGTGTTACACCTCAGCACACTTTCTTGATAACCTCACATTTTATAAGAGATTCAATTTATGTCACATTATCATACGCACATCAGTAATATCTACTGCGTGACGAAGGCGGTTGCCCAAATAGACTGAAGGTTGTCGCGCACGCGGCGCGCGGGCAATTGTCAGCCATGTAGCGCGCGCACGCTCGGTCAGCGGCTGGCTGTCGTACCGCCGCGCTCCGTGGATGACCGCTAAGCGAGCGTGTGCGCGCTCCATGGCTGACAATTGCCCGCGCGCCACGTGCGCGACAGCCTTCAACCTATCTGGGTAACCGCCTTCGTCATGCAGTAGATATTATTTTCCTCCTCATTACCATTTTTCCTTCACCTGGCAGCTTCCTTTTATTATTCCAAAAGGAAATTCCCATTGCGGAGTTTGCTATAATTCCGACTTCATCACATAACCGCGTTGAAAGAGGCGCTTTCTTGAATATGTTACTAACAGTAATCGTGTAAGCTTCAGAGAAAAGTGGATAGAAATGAGGAGTGAAATAGTGGGAAGCAATGTAATACAGAAGTTGAAAATTGATGAAATTGAGAGGATGTAGTGTATCAAATGTAAGCGTCACTGTCACCAAAAATGTCGGTAACACCATCGACTCCAGCAGCACTTCAAACAGTTTCGCAGCGAAATTCTTGGTTGAAACAGCCATTTCAAAAGTGAAGTAAACGAATGGTTTCTCGGAATGCTAATCTCATATCCGTTCTCTACTGCAGCGAAGCGTTCCCGACACAGGGACAGCTTTGTTTCTTCTATATTTACGAAGGAGTGCCAGGGCAACACCGTTGTGCTGTGTGGTTTGATTGCTGCGTCGTCGTCGTGCTCCTCCGATTCGAGTCCTGTGGCTAAAACGTTTTTGCTCTAGTAGTAGCTGATACTGATGTGTAAGTACATTGAGAATGACATTATGAAAATGTGGTAAATCACATACACACAGCGTGCGTAGCGGATAAAACAATAATGTTGCTACAGACAATATCTTCAAAATTAGTGCCGGACCTTATGTTGATTGGGAGGTAGACTTGATTTGTAGCCTCAAAGGTTTGAATAGCCAACGACGTGCCATCAATAAGCTTTGATAGGGCAACCTTGGTATCCCTAAAAGTCTTGTTAGTCAAAGGAAACCGCGCTCTGTAGTACCCCTGCAACACTACGAAAAGTCCTGCGCTCAAACGTAACGACCGCAGGAAGTCGGTACGAACGTAAAAGAATGGGTGGTTGTTGATCCTGCTCGTCTTTCTGATTTTCTCGCACCTTTACCTACTAACAAAGGAAAGGAGTGAAAATCCTCGACGAAACCACTCTGATCTGCGTTGCAGATTGAGTTGAAGCAACCATGATTTTTTTCTTGAAAACCGAAAATAGAAGCGTTGTATGCTATGCTACTATACTTTTCTTCATCTGACGTACGATGCTAATACCATCCTTTCTCCTCCTTTCTTTGCATGTAAAATCCTTTTCCGAGATGAATGTCGTTATTCGTCGTGAGACGATGCCATATTTGGTTTCAAGTCTCTGCATCCATTTGTGACTAGCATGAAATTAGCACCACGAAACTCTTGTTGATTAATTTCTAGTGCAATGTTCTCTTAGTCGTAACATGTGGGACCATTCCGGAAATACACTTTAGCGACTATCCCCCTTATTTTTGCAAATATGCGAAGCGAAATAAACCAGTGGGCACGAGTTTGCTTGAAACACGTCGATCCGTAGCAACAGTTTACTAGCGATGATTTCTAGCGATACTGTTCAATACCACTGGCACAAGGGATTACATCCTCATTATTAGACACGTTTCTCGCAATGGGACCCACAACATGGCTGCCTCATCAAGGCGCTTATAATGCTTGTTTACGGAAGCGCTTCCGTCTGCACCTTCAATCTCAATTCTTGGGAAGCCGTGAGTTTTGTAACAGAAGTACACCTGTCAATTCTCGATTTCCAATCTTGACTCTAATGGATAAAAACAGGGTCATCTGCCATCTCTCGCTTCTGAAACTCAGCTGACACAACATCATCTCATCGCATCTCACCAAGAACACAAATCCATTGTTTTTTTGATAAAATGTATGGGCTAAGTGGCAACTCTAGAGGAAGTTTACAGTATTTGATGATTCAGTGCCGCCTGTAAAGGTTACGAAAAGATCAAGTTTTCGGATTTTGCGCACACCAATCCCCTACTTAAAGTTGTCCTTTATTCTATCTTTTGCAATTTTTATCTATGTACCTAAAACGAATCCGCTTTTGCAATTACTTCACCTAGCATCGTCAATGCAAAGCTATACCTGACTATTTTACCAACACGTCATGTGCAAATGCACAGCTTATCCACCGTCGCTGTTTTCTTATATCAAGCCGAAAAGCCAATAGTAATGAACAAACTTTGAGGCGATAAATCCGACTTCCATTTCTCATTTGAGGTGTATACTTGCATCAGGGCCCGGCAAGAGACCGTTTCTAGGCTTTTTGAAAGCGAAGTCCCACTTGATTTTCGAAAATTTTACGAAGTCCCCTTTGTCCCTTGCTGTACCCCCCCCCCTTGAATGTCATTGGATCAGGTCGTAAACCGTCCACCGTAGCTCCAGAAAATGGAGCTACTGCCTAAAATTATTATTATATTCGACATCAGTGAGTCGAACACCTTGCCTCCCCCCTCCTTAGACCGAGTTTAGGCAACATCTAGACTTTAAAATTCTAAAACCTGGATACGGAATAGCGCCAACTTTGTAAATTCTCGAAAAGAAACCACATAAGCACATACTGACTAATTATAACCTGTTCATAATGAACACGAGACCAATCAAACACATCCACATAAGTCTCTATTTTCTCAGCAACCTGTTAGCGGATACAAGATAACTGACCGTAACTAGCTCCGAAATCAACTCACTCTTGTTGTATCAATCTTTATGAAACGAGCGCAATTCACGAAGATTTTCAAACTCATGCGACAAAGTGTCACAAGTTGTACGACTTTCCAGCAAATAGTCTTGCTCTTTGAGAATATCCAGAAAATGAGTTGCTTCTCGTGAACCAAGAACGCGAACAAATTGGAGGACATTTGCAGCATTGAAATTTTCAACACCTTCAAACAGAAACCATGTAGAAACAAAATGAAGAAGTTCGTGAAAATCTTGCTCATCTGCATCGACCTCACTTCATTGACAAGATCAATGAGCTCTCGAATAAGCACGCTGCTTAGCTCTTCCTGTCTGAAAGCTTGATTTCAAGTGTGCCAAACAGTTTTTAAGAAGACACATTTCGTTAAAAAACCAAAATTAGAAAGATATATTTCGTAAAAAAACCAAAAATGGAAACTTCAAAACTCACCATGGATTCTTTGACAGCATGTAGACTTTACAGCTTCATGGTCCATAACGTAGACAAATTGCTCTATCACTCTCAGCTACCATGCTATACAAACTCTCTTGTACGTCTTTCCGGAGACTAGCGTCAAGATTTTCGCCACACAGCGCTATTACATGAGGACGCCGACGTTCCATGAATTTCTGAAAAAAGCCATAAACTCAACTGAATCATAACAAATGCAACGTTAACTTAGCCAAATAGTATATCAGACCTTTGACTGTGCTTGAGGGCCAAATCCTGGCTTGGTAAAATGAACCATTTTGCAGTAGTCTATGACGGCACCATCCTGATCCACTAATACCAAAAAAGACGCCGCATCCATGTTAGTTGAGTAGACAACTCCCATGACTCGCACATTCCCCTATACAACACATGACTGTGAGAAAATAGAAAAGTAAAAGATCCAAAACTACCAACCTGATGATTAAAGTCTTCGTCTTCTCGGAAGGATGGAAAGCTTTGAATGTGAGTTTCAGCTTCTACAATGAGAACAAGATCCGATTTGAGATACAAAAGATAGCGAACGAAAACTAAGGGAATTCAATTATTAGATAAATCAGACCGTTAGTCGGAAGATTCAAAGAAAACATCACGATATCGAAACCAAAGCTGGAACTGTACGAAAATTCAAAGGGAGAGGACGCAGAGAATTTGGCGATAGGGCGCGATATCTAACAAGGGCGCGATATCAAAACGCGATATCAAAAAACAAGGGCGCGATATCACATAGGGCGCGATATCAAATTCCGAAAGAAAATAGGGCAAAAAATAGTGGACGGGGAATAATAGGAAATTGTTCCTATGCTCAGGGATAGATTCTTGATCGGGCCATCCGTCCATGCTAAAAAGATCCGAAACTTATGTGAAGTGACGGAAATATATGCTCCAGACGTTCTCAGATCGTCTGGTGGCCGTCTGGAGACGATCTAATTTTGGAAAACGTATTACTTCACATAAGTTTCTAAATCTTTTTACATAATTCTTCCGCAAATAATATTCTTTGTGTATAGGCCAATTTTGGTGTCATATGAATCTGTGTGAGAAACAAGCAATTTTTCTATTTTAGCCTTGCTTTCAAATCGCGCGCACTTTTCGCCGTACACGATAGAGCATGTCAATCGTGTGATAACCTGTCCGAAAAGCTTGTGTTCGACTGGATGGTCGCTTATTTTTGGTGTATAGGAGAAACTGAAGAGAATTATGGTAATTAACCAGGTGACAACTGTTGGCTAAGGGTACTTAACGACTTTTGAATGTCTGGCACTTAACGTCCACTGTTACTTAATGATTTTCTAAAAGCTGATACTTATTTTCATAATGGTAATGAGCGACTTTAGCTTGCTCCCAGCTAGCACATAGAATACAAATTTCCACCACATATCTCGCTAGCAAACATGTGCAAAAAATTTTTTTCGGGG